GTTTTTTCAGAGATGATTTATTATTGAACTAGGTAACATCAGTGCTAGAAGGGAATGGTGTTTGGTCTCTGTATATGAGTATAATTCCCTTTTAGCAATGATCATGTTGTCTGGCTGGGTAATGAAATGACTAGAAGAAAACAACCAAGTTCAGAGCACCAAGGACCCGTATGTTAGATATTCCTCATCCTCAGCTGGTAGACAAAACTGCATTATTAAGTTGTAGTCCAAAACATCTAAAAAGGCCCATATTGAAGATAGCTAATAGCTAATTATGTCTCATGGCATATTAATATGCTTCAAATTGGCTTTAGCTTTAAAGCTTATTTACTGGAAATTTCATTGGAGAAACTCCTCTGACCATTATTTTAATTGTAGATGGATTTATATTATAATTGAAAAATTAACAGATGTTAACTTCCTGTTCCTACAATATTCAATTCCTCATTTTTGTTAGCAAAAATCAACAACCCAATTAATTACAGCATTTTTAAGATGTAATTTTAGAAGTTATGGAAGATCTTTTAGGATTGTTTTATGTATTTCTGTCTCAGCATTTTGAAGACAGTTCTGTTATTTTCTAAACTTAATATTAATTTATCAATAAGACCTTTATCATTAAAAACATCAAGGATGAGGATTATTGCCACTTAATTTATGTTTATACAAGTGACTTTCCATTTTGGCTTTGTCTATAACAGGGATTTCTTCCAACTTCTGTTCCTTTGTTTGAGAAGCATGATAGCTTGTATAGTATTTTTATATGTTGCTAATTAATACATAGTTTTTATTATGTAGCAAAGCAATTCCTTCTTCTCTTGTACCTGTCATGGTAATAATTGTTTACCCGATAGTTCATATGACCTTGACATTTCAACTATGTACCTTAAATATCCTTAGAGGGGAAAAGTCATTCAGGCTAGGTGGTCACCTTCCCTAATTTTGTGAACCCTGGCATTATAAAACGGAAGTAATTAAAAACACTTTTTTTCACATCATCTTATTATGCTGATTAAGTGTACATATATTTGAGGGGCTTAGTTTCAAATTCCTAATATAATTGCAGACAGCAAAATAAGGGCAATACCATTTAGCTTAGTTTTACCTTAGATGCATTTTAGTCAAGTTTTAATTTAATGAGGAAAATATCTTTATTTATTCACCTTTTATATAATATACACATAACTAGTAAATAATAGCAATACAACTTCATATTTTTCTTGTTATTGATATGTTATTGATATTGATCAATTGATATCCCATGTAGAACCAAGTTCTTGAGATTTGGCCAACTGGAAAAGAAAAAAACATACCAACAATTGATTTTCTCACAGTTGTTTTCATGTTTAGCAACTGAAAAGCATCCATACTTCAAAAACAACAACAACAACCAATGAAGGAATATTTAGGATAGACATGTAAGCAATAATTTAGGTCAAAGATTAGTATAATAATTAAGTGGCAATCAGAAGTTTGACTCTGGTGACAATTAGTTCCAGCAAGCATCATCAGTGGCAGCAGACTGTGAGAATTTGTCCCAAACCACTGGTGGAGTGTCACATTATTTTTCCCTAATGCAGATTCTGGCCTGTGAAAGTACAACTGCTTTTCCCACCCCAAATAGCTTCTGACAGGCACTTGGAGAATTTCCTGACAGATGGTGAATTAATCCATTGAGAGCCTGGTTCACTATTGGAATTGTAAAATTATTCAGTCCCTTGATGAAATTACCTCTAAGGTAGTCTCCCTCTTTTGGCCAATCTCAGGTGACTCCTTTTACCTTCAGAAGATGAAATAACAGAAGCAATGCCTACAGTGCCAGTGGAGTTCAAATCTACTTTCAAACTTATTCCATGATGATAAGAGGGGTGAAATACTTCTTTTATTGCATTAGCAAGTTGACATTGAATAGTCAGTTGCTTCTTAGAAAGGCCTCAACGTTGCTGTCATCAGTTCACATATTCCACTATCAAAATTCCCCAGATTAATTCAAATTTTGTAATCGTTTGGACAGAGTACAGAATAATGACTCGGGGCATAGTCTTGTTTAGTTACTGGGATTTCTTTTGATCCATGACTTCAAATGAAGTGAATAAGGTGATATCTGTTCTCTTCCTCCTGTAGCTGAATCCTTGCCTCTCTTGGTTCTTTCAGGTAGTTAGGTGGGAGGTAATTTTCTGTACCAGGAAGACTGTTAAACACTTCGTTGTGAAAGGAGATATTACTGGCAACTTTGAAATAAGAAAATAAGAGGAGGGCATGTTGATTGGCCTTTTCTATATCCAGAGTATTGAATAATTATCACCCAGTCTCCAGCCTTCCTTTTTGGGGAAAGATTATTGCGATAGTTGGGAATAAACTACAAAGCATCTTAAAGGAAATGATCCCTGCTCAGAGTCCCCACCGTTGCAGCGCTCTCACCGACTCTTCATCAAAATTCAGTTGGCAGCATTCCTTCCCTTACAACTGCAGGAACAATGCAACTTCTTCCCATTGCAATCTGGGAAACTTTGGCCAGCTAGGCCCACCAGTGTAGCACTCACAAGAGGCCCAAGTCTTCTCCATGCCTGGAAGGCCTGGAAGGCCTCAGATTGCTAGGATTATTGGCATGCAGCTCTCTTCCCTGCATTGCTACTCCTGAGAGACCTGGGCCTTCCTCCTGTCCAGCCATGGCCAGAATGCCTCAGCCAGGCCTCAGTCAAGATAGGCCCACCGACACATGGGTCTTTTCCCTGCCCCACTATGTCTAGGTCTATTTACTTTTTCCTTTCACTGCAGCTGCTAACAGCAAGGTGTAACTAAAAAGCTAGCAAAGACAATCTGATTTGTGTGTACAATGGATCTGGTCATCTCAAGTGTTCCAGGCATGGGGAAAACAGAAAGAAGGCCTAGACAATGGTAGGCCTATCCAGCTGACCTGTGTCAGATTTTTATGTATCAGTGAGTCCTGGGCCTCCTACCTCCCAATCTCTGAGGTATCCTGGTACAGTCCCTTAATTAACTACAACGGAGAGAACTGGAATTGCTGTCATTGAGTTGAGACAGTCATATGAATATCTTGTTTAAAAACAACATATGACCAAAATTCTGGGTTTAATTGTGGTCAAAGGTCAAGAAGTAGTAACTATTTTTCAGCCAACACAATTTCTCATTCTAACATAATTTATTTTAATTTGAAAAAAATACAAAATGGCATATATGTAATGTATAATTAATGTTTTTGATTCTTCTTTTAGTTACTCACTATTCAATGTGGTTGTTAGTGAGTTGGGCTCACTGTTGCTCTTTAGTAAAGTCCAGCCTAGCAGATAGTGATAATTTACATGATTGGCTGAAGAAACTTACTCTTCTAATTCCAGAGGTAAGCTTAGAAAACAATTTCTAGTTTAGTATAAGAAATAAGCTAAAAGTAGGTTAAATATATCTGTTGAGACATTTTAGGAATGAAGAAAAAGTCTTATTACTCTAGTATGGATTTATTAGTATTTTAAATATTGTATTTAGTTTCCCTAACTCAAGTTTTTTTTTTAAATGAATGGTTCAGTCATATTCCTATTTATTCAAAACCAATTCCTCCTGGATCCATCAACCCCTATTGTTATCTTCTAGGTAGCACGCATAAGATTTCATCCAAAGTCCTTGCAATCTATTATACAAAATAACTGTCTCCTTCAATATTTACAATATAATTTGTAATTTCCCACTATTAATTCTTTGGTGGGGTTTTAGATTCCAAAATGTTCTAGCATCTTGTTTATAATGAATGAAAATTATTGATACAAATGCTTAGTTCACAATATTGATAGCAGATAGGCATATTGAAAAGTTTATAAATCTAAAAATAAAGAAAATAAGAATTGTTTTGATTTGAATTGTTTTGATTTAATTGTAATTCTTTATTTCAATTTCAGACTGCAGTTCGCCATGAATCTTGTAATGGTCTCTATAAATTATCGCTGTCGGGGTTGGATGGAGGAGATTCCATAAATAGGTCTTTCCTGCTGCTAGCTGCCTCAACACTGCTTAAATTTCTTCCTGATGCGCAGGCACTGAAACCTATTAAGGTAAAACAAAAAAGGTTACCTATTTCATTTATATGAAATTATGTTGCATAATAAATCATCATCTTCATCTTATTCTGTTCCTTATAATGTTTTAGGATTTTTTTATTACTTAGCAAGATTTTTGAACAAAGTTGGGGACAAAAAAAAAAACCTAACCCTCTTTTTTCTTCCTTCTTCCTCCCCCACTCCCCAGATTGAGGATTATGAAGAAGAACCCATTTTACAGCCTGGCTGTAAAGAATATTTCTGGTTGCTATGCAAACTAATAGATAATATACATGTAAAAGATGCTAGTCAGGTAAGCATAACTGATTTCATGTTAAAGGTTTATTTTCCCATTTCTAAGTCTATATAAGAGACTATCTGATCTCACCTTGCTAAATTTACACAAGCCCAGCAAAACTGCACTTCTGTAACTTTGTAAAGATGGTTGTCAAAGCAGATTTACAACAGATAATACATTTCCCTATTCTATAATGCTATTGTATTAACCATTTACCACTTGGCAAACCACCAAATCTAAGAGAGTGCTTTTTATGAATATTTAAAACATTTCAATATCAAAATATTCCAACTTCAAAAACAGTAATTTTGAACATGCTGAGTTTGCTTTGAGAAGAAAAAAAACTTTGTTTTTCTCCCTTTTTTAGAATAAAAAATGGTTATGGCTTTGTTTTGAATTTTATGATTGTTCCAGGCAAAGTTCATATATTGCGTGTGTGTTGTGTGGCATTTTATTTTGTAGGCAGGTAATATAAAGATATGTATATTTGGTGTCCTTGTGTTTGTATACACAACAGCACTTGATGCCTTTGGCAGTGTGTAAGTGTAGACTGCTTGTGCAGTATTGGTTAATTTGCTTTGCTGGCTTTTGGGGTATGTATTCGTTCTATACAAACTCAAATGCCTTGTAACATCCTTAGCATTTTTTAAAAATTTCACAACTAGAATAATTTGTATGTACAGTCAAACCATCAGCAAATACCTACTGTATATAATTGTTTTTGCTGGGTTTTGGCCTGGCAAGCAGGGTGAGGAAAAATGGATGTGAAATCTGTGGTTTGTCCTTGTTAAGTAAGAGGAGGGAGAGAGTTTATAGATAAAATGATTGACTACTTTTTTTTAAAAAAAAGTGAATCCATTATGAAACTTCGTAATAATAAAAGAAAATATAATTTGTAGTTATCTGCCCGATTCATTTATTTTCAAACTGGAAAAAGTGCTAAATAGAAAAATTTGAGGTTGGCTATTTTATCCGGTAAATTGAGTAGGAGGAATAAAAGTGACCCTTCCTTTTTCTCCCCTTTCTTTTTCTCTCGCACTCCCAACTGGTTTCCCTCCCTCTTCCCCCACTTTTTTCTGCTCTTTTTTGCCCACTCTCAAACTCACCCATCCTCTCCCTTTTACACATACCCACGTGTATAAACTCTTTCTTCCCATTTGTGTGCAGATTTCTAGAGGAGCAAGGCAGCACCAAGCAGATTCCTAGAGGAGATTGGCTTTCGCTTGGGATCCTGAGGGTTAAAATTATGAAGCAGATTCCAAGAGATCTGCTTCCTCTCTGCGTAATGGATTTAACTGTCAGGAAGCCAAGCACTGTCTGAGAGAATCTTTGCAAACTTGTTCCAGCATGCTGGAATTTTTGCATTTTGACAGGCACCAGAGTAGAGAAGCAGTGGTAATGTAATGTAAGAAACACAGGTTACCTCATAGGTATGGGAGAGGCTGTGGGAGGCCCAGCACAGGCTGTGTGCGACTGTCTCATGCTGAAAGCTGGCTCTTGCTTTGATTTCATCAGGGATGATTTTCAGCTCCTGAACAGTTCCTCCTAGGGTCTCTCCTATCCACCTCAGACACCCCATATTCTACCTGGGATTCTATCAACTTAATGATGAAAAGAATCACATAACAGTTGCAATCAGGAGTGTCAGGATTGCAGTCATTGAGCAAAGCAATCACATGGTTGTTTTGCTTAACAACTGCTTCGCTGAACAATCAAGATACTGGTCCCAATTATGGTCATGTTGAGGACCCCCTCTAAAGGCATATAATTCAAGTATAGGTAGAACATTTGATCATAAAATCAAAGGTTGGAAGTCTGCATTAGGCAACCCCAGCCAGATTGTATTTATGTACAGTATATTATTTATTAAAATATATTCTAAAACTTTTCTCAATACAATCAATCTTTTAATAATTGCTCTGCACTTACAATTTCATTTTGTTTCTTTTAACTTAGACAACTTTACTTGATTTAGATGCCTTAGCAAGACATTTGGCTGATTGTATTCGAAGGTAAGCTTTAATCTTGTTAATTTCTTTAAAATATTTGGTTTAAAATAATTTCCATCAAAATATTATTTTAATAACAGAAAATTCTCTTTTATCTTTTACAGCAGAGAAATTCTTGATCATCAAGATGGTAATACTGAAGATGATGGCCTTACAGGTCTCCTACGTTTAGCAACAAGTGTTATCAAACATAAACCACCTTTTAAATTTTCCCGAGAGGGGCAGGTAAGATCTGAAGAACTGAACCAGGATTGTAGTACTTGATCTTGTAATACTTATTACATTTTCCCTTAAGTGTGAATACTGTTGTAAGATATATGTGAATGTTTTCTTACTACTTCTTTTTTAATATTTCTACTCAAAATTGCAGTTTGAAAGATCACATAAACTTTGTATTAGGAGAAAAATACTTGACTGTGAAGCAAAGGCAGCAGTTTCCATGATAAGCATAGTTTGAGCCTCAGGTACATATAGTTAATTTTGAAAATCCTAATTAATCAGTGATTATGACACTGATTCCACTCAGGGCAGCATTAATTTCTCAAGATCCTTGTATTGTCAGTGTATATAATTCATAGTGGCAAATGAATGTAAGACATATGCAATAATTTGATTTAATGAATTATTCAGAGGCTGTATATGATCAAGATTTAGGGAGGCAAAGACTTTGGAAATGAAAGACATATGAAGATATTATGTCATTTGTTTGCAGATCCAGAAGCTTAGGGCTCCTTGCTATGACCATGCCCAAATTTCCCCTTACTTCAGTTTTTTTTATTGTACATTTCAGCACTTTAATTGAATTAATAGAAAATAAAGTTGCTGTGATTAGCCTTCTTTCTTTCCATTTTTATAAAATGAATTAAGGCCTTTCTATTTAGGCAAGTGTTTTTAGTTAATACATAATTATTGTAGCACTAATTGAATAGTTTAATTAGATTTTAATAGTTTTGTAGTGTATATTTGTTTCAGTATCAATTCACTATCTAATATGGATACAAATTTAAATAACAAATAGCAGTTTCTATGAGTTTTCACAAACTTCTTTCCCCCCCTCTTTTCCTTTAGAGGCAGACTTGAATTGTTTACCCTGTATGAAGTAATAGCTTAGTTAATCCTACCTTTGGCTCTTATCTCAGGTGAAGATTTTGGGGAAAACTTTTTGACTGGAGTGTTAGCCACCTTTTAGCCAATTTAGATTTGGCTTATTTTGTTACCAGGTGATGTTTTAGCATTTTTCAGGCAAGCACCAATTGGTGCTGAACAGGAAAAGGACTTTGTGACAATTAGTATCACATAGTTTTTCAGTCTTTGTGGGATGAGAAAAGTTGATTACAAACTACTGTCTTGGGGGGACAGAATAAGTGCCCACAGTGACTCTTCAGATTCCAATATTAAATTATACGTAGAATATTCCAAGTAAATGTTGATGTCAAGCTTTTATATTTCCTTTATTTTATAGGAATTCTTGAGAGATATTTTTAACCTTCTGTTCTTATTGCCAAGTCTAAAAGATCGACAACAGCCAAAATGCAAGTCACATTCTTCAAGGGCTGCTGCTTATGATTTATTGGTAGAAATGGTAAAAGGTTCTGTAGAAAACTACAGGCTCCTCCATAACTGGGTTATGGCACAACATATGCAGTGTAAGAATATTTTTTCAAATTTCTCAATATTCTGTGAGTAAGAAGATAATTTCAATTTCTTTGTTATTTTTCCTTTAGGTTACAAAATTTGTTAGGATGTTGATTAGGTTTAGAAATATATTAAGATATTGTTGTATCCTTGTAAAAAGAGTGGCCCTATCAGGACCTATCAGGAGATGAGCAACATATACATTTAATCAATCAAAAACAAAAAACTTACCCATCCTTGAATATTCCTAATTAAAAATTGTATTTGTAAGCACTTCAACAGCCAGGAATATTTAGATGGCTAAGTTGTTGCCATCTATTGCCCCACCATGAGAAGTCTTCCCTAATATTATGCTCTCTGAATATAATATTAGAAAATATTGATGTTTATTTTGATGGCTCTTATGTTTCATGTTTATTTGCAATTCTAATTCATCGTAAACATTTTGATGCACTTTAATACATATCAGAATCACGTTGAACTCAGTTTTGAATTGACAAAAGATGTTTTTCTCCATTCAAGTTGCTTTATTTTGATATGAAGCTGATATATATTAGAATGTGCTAAAGCAGATAGGAGTTACTATGGATCCTGAGTGAAATGCAGCTGATATGAATGCTACTTTAATTTCACCAAGTTTCTTCTTGGGGCACCATCCTTTTATCATTTCCTAGTGCCAAGTAAAGAGAGAAAAATAGTTTATATCCAGATCAAAGATAAGATTTTTATTTTCTCTCAAAATGAATAAATGGTTCCTTGCTAATTATTGGGACACAGAAATTATACTCTGAATTTTATGTGTCTGAGAAGTTAAGCTTTTCAGTCTACTAGACAGAAAAGAAAAAAAAAGTTTTTCCCACTCGAACAGAAATTGAGAATGCTCTCTCCTACCTCTGAATAGTATTGTAGAAAAATATAAACCAGCCCTGTTGGGAAAGAAAGCTCAATACCATTACTGTTAAGTGAACCAGTTGTGTCAAATAAAGGATGTGTAAGAAATAGTCATGTAGAACAGGCATCCCCAATCTGTGGGCCATGGCCCACTACCATTTGCAACCGAGCTTCATGAGCGGTGGGCTGGCAAGCGCACAGCCCCACTCATGTTAATAGTGGGCACTGGTGCTTGCCCCACTCATTCACACAAATGAAGCTGTGTGTACCTGCACGCGCGCCTTCCCCTCGCACAAAACCATCCCCTCTCCCCCCATGACAGTCCGCCAACCCGAAAGGCTGATATAGAAAGCAAAGAACAAAAATGAAATGAACTATATCAGTATGTCTGCATCCCAGCTGTATCCACAATTGCTGGGTGCAACATATGTGAAGGAGATTTGTATTACTAAGCCCATCTTGAAGATATTTTGGTAATACAGTTATATAATAATATAGTATATATAATATATTTTGGTAATATAGTTACATCCCTTCCAGTAAAATCAAAATTTTATATAGGGAAATGTCTAAAAGATTTCATGAACCAAAACTTAAAAGAACTCAGGAATATCAGTACAAAATGAACCCCAACATAAGCTCAAAATGAAATAGATGTCTACAATTTATTTTGATTAGTATAATAAAGCTTTTGAGCAATAGGAGCCTAAAGAGAAAAATATACCATAAAGTACAAAATAAAAATATGATTTCAAAGTGTTTAATTGGCAGTGATGCAGAAAAGAAAATGCCAAACCTTTAAATTGCTACTGTTGCACTTTTTGTTTCAGGTATAAATTAGTGTCTTTTTCAGCAGGTACAATGGTCAGTTGGTAGTGGTGATTGTGATGATGATCATAGTGGTAATAATAATTATGATGGTGGTAATACTAGTGATAATAATTTGGTTCTGAACCAAAATTTGGGTTTTGAGAATCATTCTTATGGTAACATATACATTTCAAAAGATATGTTTTCAATTTTCAGATTTACAAAAGTTACTTTTAGAAATAGCTCTGGTAATATTCAGGTTTTCTATAGCAGTGAGAAGGATACCTGAATGGGGCTTCCTCAATCAAAATCCCTACCAAGTAGACTGCAGAAGATAGAATCTAGTCCTTGAGCAAGATCCAGTTCCTTGTCAGATCTTTTTTTCAAATTTTTATTTTATTTTTCCTCTTTTAAAAAAACAAGCAAACTTTAGTTCTCTTTTTTTAGACACACTCCATTATTGCTTTTGAGATAGAACCTGGGTTCCAGAGGTAGCATATGAGTGGTTTACTCATACAGAAGAGGGAAGACATTTTCATGAGAACATGACAAAATGTGGGGCCTGAGAAGGGAGAATAGACTGGTTGCTGGTTTTATTCACTCAGAAGATGAAATAATTAATGATTTTAACATATATACTCAGAAATAAAATTACCTTAATGTCACAATTTCAGCTTCTCATGCACCTTATAAATGGGATTATTGGCCACATGATGATGTTAGAGCTGAATGCAGGTTTGTGGGATTAACCAACCTTGGAGCGACTTGTTACTTGGCATCAACCATTCAACAATTATATATGATTCCAGAAGCCAGACAAGCCATTTTTACTGCAAAGGTATGGCCTTCTACTTTTAACTTGATACGGATTTTAATATTTCAATTAATATCACTATGAAGTCAGTAAAAGTCAGTTTATTGAATCAATTACAGTTTTAAGCAAAGCTTTCCTGAAAAATAGCCATCCTGATAAAAGATATTCTGGCAAAGCTATCTGGGTCTACCTGAAAAAAATAAGTTAGATAAATATACAAAACTTAATGTATAGTAAGATAATTGTTCATGTTTGCATATGTCCCCATTTTAAAATTAGATCATTTGAACATAGTACTATCAGAATGGTGCCCATTCCAGTGTTATTTAGTTAGGGTTCTTTGAACAAAAGAAAAATTCACATGTTTTAATTCCAATTTTTGATTTCATTGGTACTCTTAATTTCCAACTTTAAAATAAATGCTAAATCTCCTAATTGTGTTTTGTAATAAAAGTTTTAAACCTTAAAAATTTTGAAAGCTTTTTTGTTGTTGTTGTTGTTTAAACTTTAAACAAGGCCCTGAAGAGATGGTTCTATCAATTGGCCTGGGGACTCGAAGTGATACAAAGCCCATCAAGTGGCTTGTCTGATTATTGTCACCACAGGATGGGGTGGGGGGGTGGTATTGCTTATTTTATTTAGGTTTATCTTTGTAAACTGCACAGAATCACTGAGAGTAAATTGGACAGCCGTATACATTTAGTTAAATAAATGAATACAATTTCTTGAATGGTTTTAAGTAGGTTTCTTGTAAAATGCTGTATTTTTTTTAACATTTGCAATAAAAGGTTTTTTTTAAATTACTGTTTACTAACTTCACAAAACCAATTTTATGTGTTGTTTTTCCATTTCAATCTTTTCCTTCATGTATTATTTTTTAAAAAAGTATTCTGAGGACATGAAACACAAGACTACTCTTTTAGAACTTCAGAAAATGTTCACACATTTAATGGTAAGTTTTAAAAATCTTTTGAAAGATATGTCCTTATGATAACTTATACCAGATAAAATATCTTAATGGTCTTAGTATTTAAACCTTTTTATTGACTTTCTGTAATCCAAGCATCAGTGAGCTCTCCCTTATGTTCACTGTTTGACAAATCCTTGAAAAAAAATGGGCAGGAATGGAAACCTTCATCCAGTTTTCATCTTTGCTTCCATATTGAATGTTCACAGATGCTCATATTTCAACTGTTTTGTTGATTTTTGTTTTCTTTGCATAAATTGTCTCTTGCAAGGCAGAAAAAGAAAGAAAAGAAAATTAAAGTTAGACCTTATTGGACTGAAGTTGCAGAATTTGAATGGCCCACATCAATTGCTTTTGATTTTCCCTACATCTTTATGCATGCAGGATATTTATAGAATTGTCTCTTTTCCTAGTACTGGAAGATTCCCTTTTTTCCCATATGGAGGCAACGATTGGTATTGCAGCATAAGCATTGAGAAAAAGCCATTTGTGCAAATTGTGTGTGGTATATGCAGAATGCAGACTCAAAGAGAGAGAATTATGCTCTTAAAAGAGGTTCTCACTTGGAACCCACAAGAGTATTTTGCAGGAGCTGAAATATTGTTCATCAGGACCCAGGTGTTGAGTGCTGCATTGACTTGCAGTCATTGAAACATTCTAGGAAGAGAACCCATGCTGGTGGCCTAGCAGCTCATTTCAGTTCAGCCAGGCACAGTGGATCTCAAGCCATAGTTGGGCTTTGTTGGTAGGCTAAATAGTTGGCACTCCATGGCCTCTTGCACTGTTCAGCACCATTGCCCAAGGACCTGTGCTCACTCTGATGCTCTGTAGCAGGCTCTGCCTCTGAGACTGTCCCAGTATCTGAGAAGTTTGGAGGTAAAGACTGATCAGAGAAGATGGGCCAGGATCTTGGCACTGGGAAGGAGATTAAAGGAGGATTCTGATAACTCTTCTTTGAGAGGCCTTTGTTAAGCTAGGAGAAGGAAAGGCTGCGAACAAGATCTTACTGCCAAGCAAAATAGGGAGGGAGGACTTTCTGTACAAGGCAATGAGGAAGAAAAGGGAAAGTGGATGAAAAAAATAGGGCAAGGAAAGAGAAGAAATAGACTTGCCAAAAAAATAAAAAAGGTTTCACAGTTTTTAATGGGTTGGCTATACTAGATTAGATATTGTCCTATAAAGATTCTCTTAAGCAAACAAGTATACTAGGTGCATGGATTTCCATTTCTCACATTGATTCTACTATCAGTAGAAATTGCTAAGCTATTAGAATACCCCATTTTATCTGTAGCTGATTGATCTTCCACATGCCCAAACTATAAGCCAAGAGCATTTCTTGTGCTATGATTATTATGAGCAGAACTATGTTAGTATCCTAATTACCTTACCAAACAGACTACAGACTTGACTTCCTACTTCATTTTATTCCTATAGCAAACAAAAGGATCCAGATCAAAAGCAGTTCATAAGCAGACTTAGCCATACTAACAACTTTTAACAAACACATACACTACCTGCTGTGTGTCCTTAACAATTAATTGCTTGTTTTCCTGGCTTCTAAACAAAGGAAAGTGAATGCAAGGCATATAATCCAAGGCCATTCTGCAAAACCTACACCATGGATAAACAGCCACTAAATACTGGTGAACAAAAGGACATGACAGAATTTTTTACAGATCTTATAACAAAAATTGAGGAAATGTCTCCAGAATTGGTAAGTCTAAAGAAATTTTTTTTTAATGTGCTTGAAACAATTCCCCCTATTTTGACTAAAATTAATTCATTCATCCACAGAAGAATACTGTGAAAAGCTTGTTTGGAGGTATTATCACAAACAATGTTGTTTCTCTGGTAAGTTCATACTTTTACTGTCCATTGTTCCCTTCAACTAGGTTTCTTTTGGGAGGCGGGGGCGTGCAAGCATTGGCTTTATATTTACAAACTCCTATTGATACTGTTGGTTTGATCTGTTATGACTATTACTATTTAGGACTGTGAACATGTTAGCCAAACTGCTGAAGAATTTTATACAGTAAGATGTCAAGTAGCAGATATGAAGAATATTTATGTAAGTAAAACCATAGCAATAACATACTATATCAAGTTTTGGTTGCCAAGGTATAAAAAAGATGTTTAGACTCTAAAAAGAGTACAGAGAAGAGCAGGATGATTAGGGGACTGGAGGCTAAAGCATACAAAGAACAGTTGCTGGAACTGGGTATGTCTAGTTTGAAGAAAAGAAGGACCAGGGGTGACATGATAGCAGTGTTCTGATATCTCAGAGGGTGCTACAAAGAAGAGGGAGTCAACCTATTCTCCAAAGCACCTGAAGGTAGAACAAGAAGCAATGGGTGAAAATAATCAAGGAGAGAAGCAACTTAGAATTAAGGAGAAATTTCCTGACAGTTGGAACAATTAATCAGTGGAACAACTTGCCTCCAGAAATTGTAAATGCTCTAACACAGGAAGTTTTTAAGAAGAGATTCGATAACCATTTGTCTGAAGTGTTGTAGGGTTTCCTGCCTAAGCAGAGGGTTGGACTAGTAGACCTCCAAGGTCCTTCCAACTCTGTTATTTATTCTAGTCTAACATTGCAGATCTTTTGGCTATTTGAGATCTCCCAAATAGCACCATATCAAATTAAATTGTTATGCTCTTTAATGGTACTGCTTGTTTTGAATGGCAGTGCCTCCAAAATCTCTGGATATGCTCTTTCCAGCACCTGGGAACACAAAAATATTTTTTTTCCTTCTTAATCAGACCATTATTTCATTTAGGCCAGTATTGTCAATAATGAAGGCCAAAACCACCCTAAAATTTCAAGCAGTAATTTTTCCTCTCTACTTTCAACTACTCTCAAGTTTCAGATTTTGCTTTTTAGGGGGGAAAATGTGCATAGCAATGGCAGACTTAGTTGTATATGTTTGCATCAGTAGCTTTATGATATATTTTGTCCCCAGAAACTTCATGGTTGGCTCCTTAAATTAATAATTTAATAGCAACTTTTGTTAACATCTATTTGAGAAATAAATTTTAATAATGAATTATTATTATTGTAAATTCCTTTACTTTAAATGAACTTTCCTTATATATAGGAATCTCTTGATGAAGTTACTATTAAAGATACCCTAGAAGGTGATAACATGTATACTTGTTCACACTGCGGGAAGAAAGTACGGGCCGAAAAAAGGTAAAATGGGAGGAAGAAAGCTTTTAGTTTATTCTGTTTTAATTTGCTAAACATTAAATACATCATGTTCCTAAATACTGTGTACTTATACTCTAAATATATGATGCTTTGAAAGTAGGGTAAAGCATTAAAAAAGGAACATTTTCTTCTGGTTCTAGGGCATGTTTTAAGAAACTACCTCGAATCTTAAGCTTTAATACAATGAGATATACTTTTAACATGGTTACTATGATGAAGGAAAAGGTCAATACACACTTCTCATTTCCTTTACGTTTGGATATGACCCCTTATACTGAAGATTTTCTCATGGGAAAAAATGACAGAAAAGAAGGTATTTGATTTTATTCATCTTCAAATTTTTTCTATTAAATTTGTTGACTATTTTAACCAATTTGCATGAAATTTTTGGATAATATTGGGCAGTCATCATGGAGAGGTAAACAAAAGTATTGATTAAAAAAGGCTGGTGCTTCCTGAGCTTTTGACATAGATATTGTAATAGGTCACCATCTCTCCCCCCCCCTCCCCATGGGAAAAAGTCACATCTGGATAATGTGAATGT